GGAAAACACCTCGCTGTTAAATAATGATGCAGTTCAAGTATGCAAATCGATGGTTTTAAAACAAAAATCCAGGACTCCAGAGACGTCAAAATTTGTGGCGGGGAGAGTGTTCTCTTAGAATAAGCAATTAGCCGGGCGGTGGGTGGTTAACGCCTGTAATCCCAGCCTTTATTTGGGAGCGCGAGGCGGGCGGATCACGAGCAGGGAGTTTCGAGACCAGCCTGGCCAAGTCGTGAAAGCCCCGTCTCTTTGACTACAAAAAATACCGAAAAATTGCCAAGGGTGTGGCGGTGGGGAGCCCTGTAAATCCCGGCTACTCAGATGGTTGAGGCGGAGGAATCGCGTTGAACCCGGAGAGCGGAGTGTTGCAATGAGCTGAGATTGTGCACATGCGACTCCAGCCAGGGGCAACAGTGTGAGACTGCCATCAAAAAACAAAAAACAAAAGAAAAGAAAAAGAGAGAGAAAGAAAGAGAGGGAAGATTGAATAATTCAGTAACTTGATCCAAATTCCTTGTAAATTGAGACGTGCTTTGTACACCCTCAAGATAATTGAACCTGAAAATACCATATTGTATTCCTCAAATACATCACCATTTGATAAGGTGCGTAAGTCACGATAAATGGGGGGGGGGCATCTTATGATGGATGAAATCTTACGATTGGGGCGGGCGCGGTGGCTCCAAGCCTGTAATCCCAGCACTTTGGGAGGCCGAGCGGGTTGATCACGAGGTCATGGGAGATCGAGACATCCTGGCAACATGGTGACCCCGTCTCTACTAAAAATACAAAAAAACTGCCGGGCGTGGTGGCGGGGCCTGTAGTGAGGCTGCAGAGAGCCATGATCCTGCCACTACACGCAAGCCTGGGTGACAGAGCCAGACTCTGTCTCAAAAATACACTGGAGGATACTTTGCAATTCTATGGTAGCTGGTCAAACGCAACATCTGCAACAATCTGGAAAAGCTTCATAAACACGGATGGCCCCTGGATGCCCCCGGGCCCGAGACCCTCCCACCTGGGCCCAGCTAAGCCCCCGGATGCCCCCAGACCCTCCCACCTGTGCCCAGCTTATCACACCCTCAGGCCCGAGACCCTCCCACCCGTGCCCAGCTTGCCACACCCTCGGCCCCGAGACCCTCCCACCCGTGCCCAGCTTGCCACGCCCTCAGGCCCGAGACCCTCCCACCTGTGCCCAGCTTGCCACGCCCTCAGGCCCGAGACCCTCCCACCTGGGCCCAGCTAAGCCCCCGGATGCCCCCAGACCCTCCCACCTGTGCCCAGCTTGCCACGCCCTCGGGCCCGAGACCCTCCCACCCGTGCCCAGCTTACCACGCCCTCGGGCCCAAGACCCTCCCACCCGTGCCCAGCTTACCACGCCCTCGGGCCCGAGACCCTCCCACCTGTGCCCAGCTTACCACGCCCCCGGGCCCGAGACCCTCCCACCCGTGCCCAGTTTGCCACACCCTCAGGCCCGAGACCCTCCCACCTGCACGCAGCTTGCCACACCGTCAGGCCCGAGACCCTCCCACCTGGGCCCAGCTAAGCCCCCGGATGCCCCCAGACCCTCCCACCCAGGCCCAGCTTATCACACCCTTGGCCCCGAGACCCTCCCACCCGTGCCCAGCTTATCACACCCTCAGGCCCCGAGACCCTCCCACCCGTGGGCCCAGCTAAGCCCCTGGACGCCCTCGGGCCCGAGACCCTCCCACCCGTGCCCAGCTTACCACGCCCTCGGCCCCGAGACCCTCCCACCCGTGCCCAGCTTACCACACCCTCGGCCCCGAGACCCTCCCACCCGTGCCCAGCTTACCACACCCTCGGCCCGGAGACCCTCCCACCCGTGCCCAGCTTACCACGCCCTCGGGGTCCACCAGCAGCAGGTGCTTGGGCTGCCCGGCGTGCATGCCGGTGAGGACGTACTGCCCGGGGTTGGTGACGCTGTCTCGCACGAGGAAGTCCCCGTCAGCTCGAAGCATCCTCTCTGCCGCCCGACGGCTCATCCGGCCGTGGTACCAGGGCTCCTGGCGCAGCTGTTCCTCTGTGGGGGCCACAGGGGCCCGGCGGGTAGGGGGGCTGGGCCACTGGTCCTCCAAGGGAAGGGGGGCTGCTGTCATACCTGCGGCCACTGAGCACTCATGCAGCTTCAGGGCATCCTCGAAGGGTCCTGCAGGCCAGGGACAGCAGTGCTGGGCAGGCAGGGGCCGGGACCAGAGCTGGGAGAAACGGGTTCCCCGGGGAGCCCCCCGTGAACTGGTCGGCCTGCACTGACCGAGCACCCAGTGTATCAGACTCACGCTCCGCCCAGCCCCGTGCGTGCGGCGGGCTCACGTGAGGCCACCTGGACCCCCAGGTTAGGTTTTGTAAGCCTGTACAAAGGATGACAGCAGCTCTTTCTTTCAGAGGTTAACTCCTATTGCTTTTTCTCGCCTTGTTAGGTGGGTTTCCTTCCCATAGTACACGCCTCTTGTTGCCTTATCTGGCCTTACCGCACTGGCCAGGGCCTCCAACGTACCCTAAATACTCACGATGAAAACCGATGAAAACCGGCTTCCCTCTGCTGCCTCTAGCGTTAAAATGTTCTGCCCTGGGTTTTCTAACGGCTTCCAACAGGGCCGACATCCGACAGGCCACTCAAAGGCTCTCCTCTGAGTCTCAGTCCCCTCATTGTCAAACAGGTGTGGGCTTCCCCAGGCAGAAAGCAGCATGGTTCAGACACCACAACGCTGGGGCCCCAGCCCTGATGGAGACGCATCTACCTGTGGCTTGAGCGGCCTCAAATTCCTCCAGCTCCTGGTCCTGGGGGAGTCCTCCCGCCCTGACCCTCACTCCCTAGTGTACCTGTGGCTGGGCCAGCCCCGCAGTCCTCCAGCTCCTGGGGAGTCCTCCCGCCCTGACCCTGACTCCCTGGTCTCCCTGTGGCTGGGCCAGCCCCGCACTCCTCCAGCTCCTGGTCCTGGGGATCCTCCCGCCCTGACCCTCACTCCTCCAGCTCCTGGTCCTGGGATCCTCCCGTCCTGACCCTGGGCTGAACCAGCTCCAACTCCGAGCCTGACCAGTCGGCATGTTCACCCTCCCAGCCGGCGACTGGTTCGGGGATGAGCACGTGGCGAACCAGAGGCAGCACCAGGACTTTTCATCACCTTTCCTCAACCAGGGCTGTCTGGCAGTCTGGTCACCCTGAGGGACAGCCTGCCTCAGAAGGAAGCTCACAGCCCCAAGCCCCTCCTTTCCCAGCTGAGGGTGGCCGTGAGGAGCGAAGAGGGCTGAGGGTAGTGCTTGGGACCCAGCAGGTGCCCACTAGGGGCCAGATGGTGTCATTACTGTGATGCTAAGGAGAAGCTGCATCGTCAGCTGGTGGAGGGAAGGAAGACATTTGCAGCTAGCTTGGCATGCGTCCTGAGCTCGGGCAAGGACCCCATCTGGCAGCTCAGAGCCAACACCCCTCCGAGCTCGAGAAGGGCAGAGCCAAGGCTGCAGGAAATCAGGAGAATTCCGGACACCTCAGGCAAGGAAGGACAAGCCTCCTCCCTCGGGCTGAGGGCTCCCTTGGGCTAGGTCATCCCATGGGGAAGGAAGGAATGGGTTCACCATCAGACTAGCCACTTTGTCCAGGGGTGGACTAAGCCTCCTTCGTTGGACTGGGCGTTCCTTCAAGCAGGAAGCTGTGCCTCCCCCATCAGGCTGGGGTTTCCATGGAAAGAATCCTCAGAGCCCGGGGTCACGTGAC